TCAGTGGCAGATCCTTTAAATATGAAAACGTACTTACGTGAGTCAGAACTGCTGGCATTTTAGTCTAACGTTACTCTCCCTGGATCAGTAAACAGTCCTCCATAAAATGTGCTGCACACATCTGAATATTTGGGTTGAACTGTTGTGGAACAGTGTTGTAAATACAACTTAACCACTGATTTCTAGTCGTGTCCTCTTTTGGAAGGCCAAACAAAGTAGTTTCGCTTTCACAACGAAATACAGCGTCTGCACAACATGGCGGCGGCGGCGGCGGCAACAATACTACAGCGAGAATCAAAGTTACGCCTTTTTTCTTTGCGTGAACATTTGGGCGGCGTTATGCAAATCTTCCCACATAGTGAGGTAGACATGTGGGGGCGTGTTAGAACGAGCCGTTTTAGGTAGGTGTGGTTGACTCTTAACTTTTATAAAGAATATCTCTTTGGATTTGAGACTTTAGTCTTTGCAACTTTACAGATCTTCTTTATGCACCAAGAGCTTGTAACACTCCAAAGAGAAAGGAAAACTTTAAATCGCATCATATGACCCCTTTAATGTCGATATTGTCTATTATTTAAAGATATTGAATCTTTAATAATAATATTAATAATAAATTGTTGTTGCTGTTATGTATTATTTAATAAATAGTGAATCTTCAATCATTACATTTATGCATTTAGCAGAGGAAGAACAATGATTAAAAAACAACAATAATAATAACAATACAGAATTGATATACAATGTAAATTACAGTATAGCCTATACACTTCTTATTCAGATGAGTGTATGCCATTGATCATGGTCTTGTATATCCTCATGAATGCAGTTTGATAAGTGTGATTTGTGATGTTACAAAAATATATTTGAGCACAAACAGATGATAAATCAACTTAGAGTGACACATTACACATGTGACAGAGTTCTGTTTAAGATGAGGAAGATGGAAGGGGTTAATGAACAAAAAAAGGAAAGGGAGGGTAAATTAGTTGCTCAATAAGCGTTTCTTAAACTTTAACTGAGTCTTTATGAATACTTGCAAAAACTTTGCACTACATGTCCTTTAAAAAAAATACTACCAAGGATACAAGTCCAAGGCTGTGTTTGCCTGCTCAACAGCACTGAGAGTGTAGTTACTGACAGACTGTAGTGTTTATTGACTTAATGAGTAAAACACAAGTAAGATTACAACCTATTAAATAATCTCTTTGCAAAAATACAGCAGCAGAGTATTTTAATTTTGCGGTGTCGTGTATTTTATTAGACCTAAACTATAACAACGCGACTTGTGAATTTATAACTGTTTATGCAAAATAATTTTACATAAAGACTTAAGTAAAACCTTGTCTAACTTACCTTGACACGTCAACCCTGGTGCCCTGGCAGTACCTATCAGACATTTCCATGCCACCTGTTCTCCAAGACAAAACACGCTTCCAGCCACTAGAGTTCCTTGGTCGCTAAATTACTAAATATCCTCGCGTTTGACATCACAGCTGGAACACGTTCAGCAGCGCCCATCGACCAATCAGGAGCGAGGAGGATTCCCGATGGGCGTGGCCTCACTGTACGAAATAGAACGTTCTTTCAGTTGCTCACTGACTTGTGAAACGTCACAAAGAATCGATTGAGGAGCTAGGAAGTCTCAATATAAACACAAACAGACCACACGCTATTTTAATACAGCAAGTGTGCTTTTATGAAGTAAAACAAGGTAAGTTAAAAATGACATTTTTTAGCAATGCTTCCAAGCTGAAGCATTATTGCTGCCACGTTAAACAGGCAGAAAGTTTGAGGGAGAAATAAATTCACAGTCAATGAGGACTCCAGATTTAGTGTACTAGTCTTCCAGAAAAAAAAGTAAAAAAAGAATAGCTTTATTCCACTATGCTGATATGACAAATCCAGCTGTGTCAAGCAAATTGACAGAGTTAATAATAATAATAGTAATGTTTAGCCTACTGTATACAGTGCTTTCAGCCAGTGCTCAAGGCAAAAATTATAATCATAATGTAAACAAAACAAGCAAACCCAACATAAAAATGGATCCATCATCATCTGATCAAAATTAAAGAGTATAGCTGGAAAAACTGGCAAAAATGTACGAAAAAAATGTAACTGCTGAAACTCCCTACAACACGCATCATGGTTTTATCAAAGAATGTTCATTATGAATATGTGTGATGGATGAGATGGAGAAAACAAAAAAATTAAGTTTTTGCGTAAATCTGCAGTAGCTAGTAAGCGCACTTAACACATACTGACCAGAAGGTGTCAGTATAACGACTAAAACCAGTGATACTATACACATCCCTTTATGTTGTTACCTGGATGATCCACAGCAGTTTTTTTTTTTTTTTTTTTTTTTTT